ATTTATTTCTAGGGTAATATAGAGCAGTACACATCTGAGGCTGGCAGCTTCATGTGTCTAATATTTCACAAAATTTCTGGCACACTGTAAAGTTACATAAGAGTCATTAGTGGTAAAAGTAACAATGCAATTTGTCTGAAAAAAAAATTTACACATCCTCCTGTATATTCTCCCTGGGAAAAGAACTGAGTTAACCCACAAGACAGGATTTCAATGAAGACTTTGTAAATTTATGCAGAACCTCTCATAATAGAATATATTATTTAATGGTATTAAACTTCTCATTTAATAAAAAATTCAATAAAAACTTTTTATTCAACCTAACTGTTCAATAAAATTTGTTTTAGAAAGTTAACATACTACTTCTGACTATAGTCCTGTAAAAACAATTCATCAGAAGCTATCACTTATGAGGTCAGTGTTATTATTTTTTTAATAATATAAAGGTGATACACTCTTAAATTAGAAAGCATCTTTTAAAAATAAGAGAACTTGGCCAGGCATGGTGGCTCACGAGAAATCCTAGCACTTTGGGAGGCCGAGGGGGGCAGATCACGAGATCAGGAGATTAAGACCATCCTGGCTAACAAGGTGAAACCTCGTCTCTACTAAAAATACAAAAACTTAGCTGGGCGTGGTGGCGGGCGCCTGTAGTCCCAGCTACTCGGGAGGCTGAGGCAGGAGAACGGTGTGAACCCAGGAGGCAGAGCTTGCAGTGAGCAGAGATCATGCCACTGCACTCCAGCCTGGGCGACAGAGCGAGACTCTGTCTCAAAAAAAATAAATAAAATAAATAAATAAATAAATAAGAGAACTTGACTAGTTCATCTGAAATTGGTCTTACATTTTTATCTTCCTTTCCAGCCTATTTAAAAACCAAGCCAAAAAAAAGAAAAAAGAAACAAAAGGCACGATAGTCACAAACCAAAAAATCCATTTTAAAATAGTACTATATAATAAAAAAGCTGTAAGAAATTATTAGACTATTTATTTTCCCTCAAATATATTTTTAAATGGCAGTTAATATTTCCAAGCACTGAGTAGCAGAACAATTAGATATTTTATACTATTCTTTCTAGCCCAATTAAAAAGCCTTTACATTTTCCATATTCTCAGATTTTGAGCTTCCTTGAATGCTATTCCACACGAAAATGGGGAGGTATGTTACAATGACAGACTTTAAAATTATTATATAAACTTGAAAAGCACTTATATGAGTCTGTTATTTAGAATTTAGAACACATTATTCCACGGGGAGGAAACCATAAACCTGAATTGGTACTTATACTGCACATATATTAATCTACAGTGTTATAATTAAACACAACATGCATATGCATAACTGAGTGCCTTCAGCATTTTCATATAAGATAGAACATTTACTCCGCAATTATTCCTAATGTATCTTAATGACACTGGACAGAGATCTAAAACTTCAAATTCCACATCTGCTAGTTGTATAAGGCTACAAGGTAACCTCCTCCTGGTGGTTAAGTAGTGGAAAGAGAATTACCAAACTCTGTCACTTAACTTACCCCAGCAAGAATAGAATATTTTCAGTCCTCTAATCTTCCACATTAAGCTATTTATATTTGTAAATTTGAAAATTAGAGATAAACCATACACATATCTTAACCCTGTTGGGAGTACAGAGCTCTTTGGCAGACATTTACATTTTTTCTAATCAGTTCCTCAATGACGATTACAATATGAGCTTCATATTCTCAGGAAATTTTCATTAATTTGTTTTCATATAATTTGAAAACAAATACTGAGCTGTCTTCTTAGGTCTAAACTGCCAACATTCAGAACAATGCATAATAATCTCCAACTCTAATCAAATTTTGAATTGCAGATTCGTAAAACTGATAACATCTGGCACAAGTGCCTCATTCTTAACAAAAAATTAAATGAATTAAGCCATATTCCAAAGCTAGTCAGTAGAACTAAGCCTAGAACCTAGATTCTGATTCTCTTTTCAGAGCTTTTGCTGCCATCCTTTACTACCAATTTAACCAAATCGTATAACCTGGCCATTATTTATCAGCAATAAGACATTGATGAAATGACATAAGTTATACATACATCTCATCTGTGAAACAGAGCTAAAGGTACCTGCCTTTGAGGGGACTGGGTGATTAAACTTGTCTGTATGACAAAGTACTCTGTAAAATGAAAAGCACCATATACAGTTATACATCATTTCTAACTACTTGGAGAAGGTAAAATGTAGCCATAAACCAATCATGAAGCTGTTTATCTAAGACTAGCCTCAACCTATGATTAAACATCTGTGGTAAAAGTTAAGTGACTGCACATTACTGCTGCAGTTAGTAATAAAGGTATTAACAGATAAAAGTTATTACAGAGAAAATGGTATTCTGATTAAACCAAAAGATGATTTAATTGTATATCTACATTCTTTATTCTTAAGAGCTGCCTTTTTGGCTTAACAATTAACAAATGTGAATTAAAAGGTAATAAACAATGCCAAAAATATGGCATCTTCCTCTTAAGGAGGCAATACACAAAATATTGGGAGGGTTACTGAGAAATTACTGACAAGGCTCTTCCACTTCAAAAGAAAAACAGTGAATGAAACAGCTCTTTGCTGTCTGGCCACAGTTCAACATTGCAGTGATAACCACAGAAAAGAAGTCCAGGGATATTTCTCAACACCCAGAGATGAAAAGCAGGGCTCATGACTATAGGGATACATGTAATAATACCATCTTAAATAGTTAGAGCATTTTAAACATTTTACCTTTCCTGAAGATTACATTTCACGAGATCTTTGTAATACTTTTGTTAAGTAAATAAGGAATAGTCTGATATTCTAAAGAAGCTGAAAATCATCAAAATTAAAAACACGCACAATATTATGTAGCATTTTACTTATCTTTTATAATGAGGTACATTTATGTTTATAAAACAAAAAGGTTCCATCAACTCAAATTAACTTGTTTATTTATAGATTTTGATAACAGTATTTCAAAGACCAAAAAAACCAAATTCTTGTTATATTCAAAATTCATCCTGACGTGGCATACATATATCCTTTTAATTCTGATTGAAGACTAAGCATTAAAATCAACCCAAAGGTAAATAATGAACATCCTCTGGCCATTGCATATTACTGCGTTGGTTATCAAAAAAAGAGTTTATCCATTTTGTAATTAATTTGTTGACCATAAATTGCAAACTTTTTGATAATGTCCTTATGAATTCTTAAAATTAAATTTCAGTGAATATATTTCCATACATATCCTTTTACCTCAAGGGGTAGTCTCTTTCTGTATCTTATTTTTTTCTTTTCTCACTTAGGATCAACTTTCAGTCCCCATCCTTCAGTATTCTCTGAAGTGTCTGCTCACAATTTAAAACTCCTATAAAAATGTTTTTTGGAGATAAGAAGTAGTCCAACTTGTTTTAAATTACTATCATTTTAAATCTGTGACACAAGGATAATTACATAAAATGAAGATTTTTTAAGAGATATAAATCTCTTAAGAAAAATAACTAAAAACAAATAGAAATCCTAACTAGAAATCTTATTTATGTGAATAAAAATGCATTTAAATTGGTGTATTAAATAAAATACGGTTTTATACCTTAAATCAAAGTAAATGACTTGTCAACTAATACATCATTTTAAATTTCACCTTAAAAATTAACCCAGTTAATGAACTGTGTATCAAGAAGTATAAATTTTGTTTGTAAATTTAAAAAATCAAACTAGTTGAGAACAAATTGTTATTACAAAGCTATGCTTCTTTAAATAAATGGGAAATTAATCATTTTGGCAAATTTGCTACCATTGTAATACTTAATGTACTCAGGGTATCTTTCCACAATAACTTTAGGTAACTTCACTGTCATTTAATCATCCACAATCAGACTTCAAAATGAAGCTATTAAAATGAATGGGAATATGAACAACTTTTCTAATAATATTTATACAGTCTCAAAAGAATCACTTATGTGATTGCTGTTTTAAGGAAAACTCAAATACTAAAACTTTGAGGCTTTAATTCCAGTCATTTTGGGCATTTCAACCTGAAAATAACAGATTAGAAATAAACTCTTAAATTTAGTACAAGCACAAGATACAATTTTAGTTTTTCAAAATGTCCATCAGAAAATAAGTATTTAACTTACATACATACATAGAACTATTTATTGAAATCTTACAAATTTCTATAAAGCCCCAGGAGGTCTCATATAAGTAACACTGAGAATCTTCATTTTTATATCTAGACATACCACCATGAATATGGAAATGAAACTGCCATTTATCACAAAAGAATAGGAGCTGTTTTTGTAACTATTAATTATCACTGTCATCAAATTTAGACCTAAGAGGTGCTAAACATTGAAAGACAGGTACTGAGAACGAGTCAGAGATAAACAACCTTTTACTTTAGGAGAACAGAGTCTAATGCTCCATTATCCATTTCTAACTAGACAGATAATTCTGTGATTAGCCCTTAATTCAAGATGTTACAGATCAGCAAAACAGAATTAAGTCTGATTTTTGTAAAAAAAAAAAAAAAAAAATCACTTAAGCGCAGTCATTTTAGATACCAAAACTTCATCTAAAATGTGGAAAGCTGAACTAGGTAACAGTGTCAACAACGTAAATTATAAACATTAGTCTGCTTATTTAAGACCAATCAATGCACTATGTTACCATTAACAAAAAGGTTGAAATCCCAATGATCTCAAGTTTTCCTACGTCAAATGGACCCAACCACAGGAATCAAAGATATTTTTCTTTTTTGTATTCTTATTCCCTCACACTAAAGTTTCTATTATGTATTATACTATTATTTAATTATAAAATGGTTTACATTGTAACCATCAAAGATTTGGGGAAAAAAGCCCTAAAATCTCTAAAGCAGAATACCCTATTCCTACCACCGTGTACAAACTTATCTGCAGGCCAGCATTTAAAATTTTACGAACTATCCAGTAAGAATGCTAATAGAAAAGTGACAAACCTGAAAATATGGCTTCTTTCAAATATAGTAACATGTGGGAGAACTTCCTGATATCATTCACCAACTCCTTGATGTAATCCGGATCAAAAATAGAGTTGGAACTTAAGGACTTGAGCCCCATTTCAGAAGCTGTAACATCAGTAGAGAGTTGGCCTGATGCCCAAGCACGTTTTTTCTTTGTCTTTTTCTGTTTGTAAGCAATCATCCTTTCATGTAACAGTCAGAAAAACAGAAATCCTTAAGGGGGCAAGAAACAAAACAAAAACAAGCGGGGAGAGAGAAAAAAACACAAATACTAAATCAGCCAGGGAAATATTACACTAGATTTTCAACAACAGCCCACCTTGGTATCCTATTTTTAAATTTTTAAAAACCAATCATCATTCACTGTATTATTGATAATAGCAGTTTGCATTTATTAAGTGCCAGTAATTCTGACAACTCTGACATGCAAACCACTGTTCTTTATATTTCACAAATGAGGAACCTGAGGTTTAGAAGTTAAAACTTTGTCTAAGCTCTCAACTGATAATGAACTAGGACTTAAACCCGTATCTGCCTTGAAGTCAAAATCCATGCTCTTAATAACTCCCTGTTGATTCCTAGGGTACAGAATTTTATTTAATTGTAAAAGTTGTTCTGAAACATCACTTAGTAGAAGGTCATATTCTCCTTCCATGACATCACCTTCAAAAATAAAGATGAGATATGGGGTTTGAAAAAAGAAAGACCTGTTGTTAAAATCCTCCTCTGTCACTTATCATATGATCTATTCATCTCTTTACTTCAGTATGCTCATTTATAAAATGGGAATAACATCCTGACAACACCTATCTCAGGAGATTATTGTAGGGATTACGTGACACAATGATACAGAAGTGTCGAGAACATAAAAGTTCAATTACAGTTGGTTTTTCCTAATAATGCATATACATACATATACACAGACACACACACACGACACATTCTGGGTTACCAAGTCTCATCAAGGATATTTCTTTGTTGAAAACAAGTTACAAGGGTGTCCACTAATCTGACATACCCTGACTGGTTAAATAAATAAATGTGTGATTATCAGAGCAATATTTTTGATAATCTCAGGATGGTAGTAAAAAGGTAATCTTTTGGTATGAGAAAAATTTAGATTTGAATCCTGGCTCTAATATTTTCTAGATAGGTGACCAGGACAATTTTATTTATAGGCTTGTGTGAGGATTAAAAGGGATCACAAAATAAGACTTCATATGTTAAAACGCCTAATATTGGCACATAACTGGAACTCAAGAAAATCATAGTTATTGTCTTCTTCACTCTCATTTTACCTTTCCAGAGTTAAAAGTTCTAATCTTGTTTGTATCTCTGGAAATCAAAAAGGAAATAATTGGAGAAATTAAATTAACTCACACTTTATTATTGACACTTTTTTCAAGTATTTTGTCTTGAATATTTGGCTACTTTAAAAATGGTAGATGACTAAGGACTTCTATAAAATTTACAGTAGAAAGTTTTTTGGGTTTTTTTTTGCGGTGGGGGGAAGGGTTGAGTCTGGGTCTCACCCTGTCACCTAGGTTGGAGTGCAGTGGTGTGATTATAGCTCACTGCAGCCTCAAACTCCTGGGCTCAAGCCATCTGCCACCCCCAGCCACCCATGTAGCTGGGACTCCAGGGACACACCACTACATCTAGCTAGCTAAAAAGAAAAAACTTTTCTTTTGTAGAGACACAGTTTCACTATGTTTCCCAGGCTGGTCTCAAACTTCTGGGCTCAAGTGATCCTCCTACATCAGCCTACCTAAATGCTGGGATTACAAGCATGAGCCACTATGCTTGGCCCACTAGAAAGTTTTATGCAATATCCGTTTCTAGTCATATGTAAGATATTTTATTGTATCATTTACTCCTTCCTATATCTCACCCAACTCCATAGTTTATTTTTCTTTCTGATCTACAGGGTTCTCTAATCAATCCACTTCTCTCTACTGCTACCACACTAGCGAATTACCATCATTTCTTTTCTGAGCTACTATACTACTTTCCCAACGATCTATCTGCAACCATTCTTGTCTCATCACAAATGGACTGAACATTTCAAACACAGATCTCATAACGTCGTTTCTCTGCTGAAAACCCTTCCAAAGGACAAGTGAGAAGCTATCATGCTTTATAAGGCTCAACATGAGATCTAGCTCCTACCTACCTGTGCAATGTTATATGGAGACACACCTGCTGGCTCTCAACACTCCTGCCACACATACCTCCTTCTCATTCTTTCAACAGTATTTGTTTATGATGACACTCACCAGGAAATAATTTCACATAATGAGCCAATATACATGTTAAGGGTATCATATTTGTGTGTGGCACGGCTTCTGGGTAAGGCTCATGTGATGTATGTGAGGTTTTTAAAATTCCATCCCATTTCATTTTTAAAAATGCTGGGTGCAACTCACCAACTTGGTTTCACACACGTAACAGCTCATGATCCTATAGTTTGAAAAACACCAACTGTTCAGCTCAGGGTCCTGTCTATAAGTAATTCTATTTGTCGGGAATATTCCTTCTCCTTTGTTAACTCGTTCTGATCTCAGCTCAAAGCTTACCTCTTCAAAGAGATGTTCCCGGACCATCCCCATCCCCCACAAAACCACTACCACCAAACCAGAGTAGAATCTCCTGTGAGATGTTCTATAGTATCCTCTACTTTTCATCACTGCTTATACCACAGTTCAAATAGATCACCTCTTCCTAGCTAGACTATAATCTCATGGAAATCAAGACCACGTCCGTTTGCTAACCATGTGTTCTCTGCTCATAGCAGATTGCTTGGCATATGAGGAATGAACTACTTAGAACTATCTGCAGATAGGCTTATAAACTTAATAAAGTTTCAATTAATTTTTATAGAAACAAAAATAACTCTGGGTTGTTGCAATGTTTCAAAGTGAAAATATATGTATTTTTAAAAACTCTCTAAAATGGTATGTTTCAAAAATAAAAGCATATGAAGCTGAGGGAAGATCACATAAAACTGAAATCAAAGTTGGATTTCTATTATTGCTCCTCCTGATTATTAAACTGGGGACCCCACACTTTATAATTTTTAAAGTTTATTCATTGTCCTTTTGATAATCTCAAATTATTTCTGAAAATCTAACTTCTACATTTAAACCAGTTTCAAAACTATCTAACATTAATCCTTAAATGTGTGCATCATTTCTAAAATGAATCTAGGGCAATTTTTGAGCATTATTATTATATCTAAGTCTTCTTTCCCATCAACAAAAACAAAACAAAAATTCAAAGTGCCTTGTTTGGGCAGCTCTTTTACAAATCACTAACCAAAATGCCTATTAGCCTAACAAAACATCACTCTTGCAGTTTACCTAATAAAGTCATTCTGTTTAGTTATGACAGCTTTTAAGCTTAGTAAATTAGAGAATTGGTCACTGTCACTGGTAAAGATGGCTACAAAAATTAAAGACATTAAAACAATTTACCTATTTTAGCAGAAATAATTTACTTAAGTAACTACATATAAAATAGTAACCTAAACTTTTAAAGTGTTTCAAAACTGCTGGAACATTTTTAAATAAGACTTTAAAAATCTGCAACAAACAAACAACAACAACAACATCATCAAACACATGGCAAGGGGAAGAACTCTTCACCTCTTATAAAAAAGAATGATACCTTACCTCTAGCCAGCATTATAATGATTAATGTGCTGATTTTGTTATATATTACTACTTTTCATATTCCAGAGTAAAAAAAGAAACATTACAATTGAAAAAATGCTTAAAATAACCAAGCTTTCATAAATGAACTATGATAATGAGAAGCTGGGACAATATACACTTTCCAAGATCATACACACTATTTTCTCATGTGCTAAAATGAATATTCTCTTGTTGGCAGTAACATAAAATGTAGTTACTAACAGACTGCAACTGGCAACTTAATTAGGTAATGATGCATGCAAAGTACTTAGCAGAGTGCCTGGTTCATCATAAAGATGAACCATAAAGAAAAGCCATTATTACTAGCAGTGCTTCACTGTGGGAAATTGTTTTTGAACAAGATGTAGCTTCACTACAATACATTAGTGGATTGTGAGCAAGAAATACAGGACTGGAAACAATTGGAGAAACTTAACTGACTCTGTGGAAACCTACTAAAAAGCTTCCAAGTGAAATTTGAACTGTGCAAATAGACTGTTGTGCAAAATATTTGTGACACACTAATTCCGGTGCATCTCTTTCAACTTCAAACCAACAATATTAAAAACATGTATTATCCACTTCTCAAAGAATTCTGTAGCAAGTAGAAAATCACCGTGCAAAACCACTTTCATCGTATGTTGTAAATCTAAGTAATGTGTGCATTAGAAATGTAGACACAAACTTCCTATCCCCCACGACTTCAGGAGCCTGTGTCAATCAAATGTCTGCTGCCCCACATACCCCCTGCCAAATGCACATTATGGCAGTAGTTTCATTTTAGGCTCTCTAATTGAAGTGTAAAACTGCCCCAAATATCTATACTTACTATTTCCCATTTTACCATTTCTTCTTGAGGAAAAATTGCCAGATATTTCAGAAATCTGCTATTTCAGTACAATTTCAGATTTGGCAAGAATCTACTTAAAGATGCTAAAAAGATGAGACGAGCTCATTCTGAAATGATGATTAAATCTTTAACTATGGTTTCAAAAAGCACTCTCCACAAAAACAGAATAGGGACATGTGAGAAACAGTTTTATCAATACTATGTAAACAATTTTTAAAGGAAAGCATGCAATACACATGCACTTCATTTCTGTACAGTTTGAACCTAGCACGCTTTAAAAAGAGGAAGCTGCCCAGCACCCCACGCCTCCAGAATGTCTAGCATTCCTGGCAGGCAGGGCTCTCCTTTGACCAGCCAAAACTACCCTTTGCCAAAGAGCAAGTTCCTCATCCAAGAATTTAAATAAAGAGGGAAGAATGGAGCAACCAAAATGGACAGCCGACGTTGGTAACGACGGACAAAAGATAAACGATAGACAAGAGATACAATCACAGAGGCAGATGGAGAGAAGGGAAGGAGAGCTCAGCTCCTGTCATTAGCAGGTAACATCCTGCCCTCCGAAAAGATTTCGGGCCAATACCCTCTGAGAAACATACTTTTAAAAAGATCAACACAGAGAGAGACAAGAGGCTCGTCAGTCACGAGGGCTCCACCTTGAAACGCCCGACTCC